TGAGCACGTTCGAGGGGCAGTGGAAGACATGTTGAAAGCGGATATTATATCTCCGTCTAATAGCCCGTGGGGCGCGCCTGTCGTGTTGGTTAAAAAGAAAGATGGTAAATTACGATTTTGTGTGGATTTTCGGAAGTTAAATAAAGTGTCGGTGGCAGATGCGTATCCCCTGCCGCGTATGGACGATTCTCTCGACGCCTTGTCAGGGGCTAAGTTTTTTTCAACGCTAGATCTCTCTTCGGGCTTCTGGCAGCTTCCCCTTGACGAGCCCTCGCGGGAAAAGACAGCGTTCCGTACGCCGCAGGGGTTGTTCCAATTTAACTGTCTGCCGATGGGGTTGAATGCAGCCCCTGCCACCTTTCAGAGATTGATGGAGTTGGTATTGACGGGGTTGCAGTGGGAGACATGTCTCATTTATTTAGATGATATTATTGTCTTCAGCCGCACATTTGAGGAGCATTTATTGCGGTTGGAGGCCGTTTTTGCCAGAATGCGTTCTGCTAATTTGAAATTCAAGCCTAAGAAATGTCATCTACTGCAACGTTCCGTTCGATACTTGGGACATATTGTTAGTGCGGACGGGGTGGCCACGGATCCAGAGAAAACTGCGTGTGTCCGGGATTGGGCAACCCCCGCCACGGTGGGTGATGTGCGTCGGTTTTTGGGGTTCGCCTCATATTACCGGAGGTTTGTTCCGAATTTTGCTACTATCGCCAGGCCTTTGCATCTCCTTACTGGGAAGGGGCACAAATTTGTGTGGGGACCGCCGGAGGAGGCGGCGTTTCGGAGCCTGCGCGACCTACTGGCTACTGCGCCGACGTTGGATTATCCGGATTTTGAACATCCCTTCATTCTGGATACTGATGTGAGTGACACCGGGATTGGGGCGGTGTTGTCCCAGTCAAAAGGTGGTGTTGAGCGTGTGGTGGCGTACGGGAGTCGGGTTTTGTCTCCCGCGGAAACTCGTTACTGCGTCACTCGCAGGGAACTTTTGGCTATTGTGTATTTTCTCCGCCAATTTCGACCGTATCTGTACGGTCGGTCGTTTATTGTCCGAACGGACCATGCGGCCTTGCAGTACGCTCTTAAGATGGACCAGCCATCCGGACAATTGGCGAGATGGCTGGACACGTTGCAAGAATTCTCCTTCCAAATTCATCATCGGAAGGGTGTGCGTCACGCTAACGCGGACGCACTGTCCAGGTTGCCGCAACAATCCCCTTGTGCGTGTGCGTCGGGGACGCATAGGTGTGGACCGGCTCAGCCCCCCCCTCAGCCTGTCGCACGGGCAGTGGATGTTCTCGAACCTCCGCTTACACCGGGACCGGTTGAAGGGGGACCGGCTGACGGGATTTTGCGTCTTCCAAGGTCTGTGTGGATTCGGGAGCAAATGTTGGACGATTCTTTGGTGTCGTTACGGAAACGAACGGAGAAGGCGGGTAAGGAAGTCGGTGCGGGTGGTAATTCGGAAACTGCTCTCCGAGATGGGTTACTGATGTGGAGGGAAGGGATACAGGAACACTGGCGTCTCGTTGTGCCTGCGTCATTGCGCTATGAGTTGATTAGATCTTTGCACTGTGACACACTTTTACACCTGGGGGTGCAGAAAACCCTATTGACGCTGCAGCGAGACTATTATTGGCACGGCATGACGACGGATGTCGTCGGTCACGTTCGCGCGTGTCCCGATTGTGCCCGCCGTAAGCCGCCTAAACATCCATATGTTCCGCCGATACAATCGATTAAAGTATCTCGGGTTAATGAGTTGGTGGCGTTAGATATTTTGGGACCCTTTCCGCCATCAGCTAAAGGGAATAAGTATTTACTGGTGGGGGTGGAGTACCTCTCTCGCTGGCCGATGGCCTGGCCCTTGCCTGACCAGTCAGCGGCGTCTATCACGGACGCCTTTCTATTTGGGTATGTAATGGACAAAGGGGCTCCGGAGAGGCTCCTTACGGATCAGGGACGTAACTTTTCGTCTAAATTGTTGGGGGAGGTGTGTGCGGCTCTTGGAACTAAAAAGATACGGACGTCCCCCTACCACCCGCAAACGGATGGTATGGTGGAACGGTTGAATCGGACTCTGTCCGCCATGCTGTGCCATACAGTCGGGGAAAACCAATCTGATTGGGATTTGCATATCCCTGGGGTGCTTTCGGCGTATCGCATGACGCCGCACGCGGCTACTGGATACTCGCCGTTTTTCCTTATGTACGGCCGTGAGAACGTGCCGCCGATTCATGACCAGTTGGGAACCGGTGCGAGGGGGCCTGTTAAGCCTCTTCCTGAGTATATTAAGGACAACGTTCGGCGTGTCGCTGAGGCGAGGGAAAATGCCCGTATGGCTACTGCCAAGGCTCAGGCCAGGAATGAGCGGTGTGCCCGACGTTCAAAGGGGGAGTGTCCCTGGAAAAAGGGGGACCTGGCCTGGCTTCATTGCCCACAGGTGCGGCCAGGTACATCTCCTAAATTACATCGACCTTGGCAGGGTCCGGTCTGCCTCATTGAGGTTCCCAACCCACAGTCGGCGCGTGTTCAGGTTGGTGCACGGCGTTGGTTCGTGCACACGTCCCGGTTGAAGCCATACATTGCCCCACGGCCGGATGCGTCATCTCCCGAAGTTGCCTTGCCGGGGTCTGTTGCTGCCGACTCGCCCTTGCCTGTGTCTGCTGACCTTGCGAGAGCGCCTGTCGTACCCTTCACAGACAAGCCGGCCGTGACAGCGCAGGGAGGAGGACCTTCCGCTTGTGGGATGCCGACCGGAGCCGCAGAACCCACGGGACCTGCAGCTCTTCCTATCCCTCCGCGGACGCGAGTACGGGATGTTTCTGGACGCGAGCGGGACAGTGGCGGGCCTCCAATGGCGACGGAAGAACTTGCGCCTGTCGCCCCTAAAACCCTTCCACGTTCCCGCTCGGCGGGTGGGCCGCCGACCGTCCGGGACGGCCCGGCTACCCGTACTCGCTCGAAATCCCTCACGTTTCGTTAGATTGTGTTGTGTTGTGTTATTGTTATAATGTTCTTCAATGCTTCGTGTCTTTTTGCGTGTTGGCCCTTTACACCCGCATTGCTTTTCAGGTTGCAATTCAGCCGAGGTCGGCTGGATTTCTTTAGGGGGGAGGGTGATGTAATGCGGTTGTAAACGGCCCTTCTGAGGTGCCGTCAGGGGGGGAGGAGTTAGGTCACGTGGGGGGCAGAGGGGTTGAGTATAGAAGGAGGGGAACCGGAAGAGCAAGGAGAGTGACGGGGAACCAGGAACAGAGGAAGGCCACGAAGGGCGAAGCGGGGTGTGGCGAGATCGCCACGAACACGGGGGGAGCGAGGATCGGCACCGTTGGCCAGCGGTGACCGACCCGAAGCAGCGAGGAGGCTGCAGTCAGCAGCGGGGCTGCACAGAGAGAGTGGGCAGCGGGTCTGCATACAGTGACAGCCAGAGGGTCTGCACATAGGGGTAGCAGCGGGAGTCTGCATAGGGGTAGCAGCGAGTCTGCAGGGAGGAGGTTACAGTAGATGAAGCAGAGAGTCAGAGGGGAGAGGAAGCTATAATAGCAGTGAATAGCCGGGGGCTACAAATACAGGAGTTATAACAGAGTGCCGTGTGGGTAAAGACGTGAACCTGAATAAAGACACGAAGACAGAAAGAAGTGTTCGAGTCCTTTTATTACACAATGACAAGAGTTTAAAGCGATTTGAAGCATTTTTTATATTTTTTTGAGGGGGGGGTCTGACTTTTTGTGACGTCATGTGACGTCCAAAATCGCGTGACGTCATTTATGGACGGCCTCTAGGGGGCACAGGTGGTGCATCAGCCAGTCGTCTCAGTCGTCTCAGTCAGTCGACCCGTGGCACCTGCTGGGTCTGCCCCGTGACCTCCTGCCAGCGGGCGTTCGACACTTCACGTGACTGTTGCAAGGTGCATATGGCCTGGCACAAGCGTCGTGGTGTCTGTGTGTGTGTCTGTCTGTGTGTGTCTGTGTGTGTGTGTGTCTGTCTGTGTGTGTCTCTGTGTGTGTGTCTCTGTGTGTGTGTCTCTGTGTGTGTGTCTGTGTGTATCTGTGTGTGTGTCTGTCTGTTTGTGTGTCTCTGTGAGTCTGTGTGTGTGTGTCTCTGTGTGTGTGTCTCTGTGTGTGTCTGTGTGTGTCTCTGTGTGTCTGTGTGTGTGTCTCAGTGTGTGTCTGTGTGTGTCTGTGTGTGTGTGTCTGTGTGTGTCTGTGTGTGTGTCTGTGTGTGTGTCTCTGTGTGTGTGTCTGTCTGTGTGTGTGTGTCTGTGTGTGTCTCTGTGTGTCTCTGTGTGTGTGTCTGTGTGTGTGTGTCTGTGTGTGTCTGTGTGTGTGTCTGTGTGTGTGTCTCTGTGTGTGTGTCTGTCTGTGTGTGTCTGTCTCTGTGTGTCTCTGTGTGTCTCTGTGTGTGTGTCTCTGTGTGTGTGTCTGTGTGTGTGTCTGTGTGTGTCTGTGTGTGTGTCATAGGTGCTCGCTAACAGCACTTGCCCCAACAGTCTGTTAAAGGCTATACGGGGGTTCTTCTTTGTGTCTCTCTGTGTGTGTGTCTGTGTGTCTCTGTGTGTGTGTGTCTCTGTGTGTGTGTGTCTGTGTGTGTGTCTGTGTGTGTGTGCGTCTCTGTGTGTCTCTGTGTGTCTCTGTGTGTGTCTCTGTGTGTTTCTGTGTGTGTCTCTGTGTGTGTGTCTGTGTGTGTGTCTGTGTGTGTGTCTCTGTGTGTGTGTCTGTGTGTGTCTGTGTGTGTGTCTCTGTGTGTGTGTCTGTGTCTGTGTGTCTCTGTGTGTGTGTGTGTGTTCAGTGCTGCTGCTGCTTGCTCCTACTGACAGCCAACACTCTGTTCGAGGCTACACGGGGGATATTTGTCTTTGCCTTACTTTGTGTCGGCATGCGCAGGGAGCGGTGGCGCAATGGTTAGCGCTCTCACCCGAGTTCAATTCCCGCTCGCGCCCACCCCTATGTCGACTCAGCCTTAACTGAGCACTTGCCCCAAAAGGTACGTGCAGGCTACCCGGGCAGCTTTGCCTTTGCCTTTGTGGGCGAGAAGCGGCGGTGAATTCCATAAGAGTCGTCGTACAAGTCAGACGGGTTCTCAAAGGCGGAAGAGGCAGACACACATAGACACAAACACACAGAGAGACACACACATAGACACAAACACACAGAGAGACACACACATAGAGACAGGGAC